AGAGAGAGAGAGAGAGAGAGAGAGAGAGAGAGGAGGAGGGGAGGAGGGAGGGAGGGAGAGAGGGAGTTTTTATTTCACAAAGTTTGTAGCAAAGGTATGTCAGTTGAAGTAGATACATCTGCTTTGATTTGTATAGGAGTTGGTAGGCTCCCAAATGATTAAAAATGGAAAGTTCCAAAAGCATTAGTGAGAAAGAGGCAAAAGAAGACCTTAACAATAAACAACATATAGGTGGTTGTCGTCCATGTAAGTATAAAAAAAGAGCTCACTCCAAGCCCTTCATGAAAGCTGCTTTTGTTCAAGCATCATGGCTCGTCTTTGGAGGCTCAACTCTCTCAGTTGTGCTTCTGTTTCTATATTAGTTTTTGTGCTTCTTTTGAATGCCATGGACGTTTCATGTGACGATTACCTGGTTCCTGGCTACTATAGAGACTCATGCCCCCTTGTGGAGGACATTGTGAGAAGACATGTCCTCATGGCTATACGCAAAGATCCTCGCATGGCTGCATCGCTACTTCGACTCCACTTTCATGATTGCTTCGTCATGGTCTCTCTCTCTCTCACACACGTACACACACATATACACGCTCACTCATTTCACTATAAATCGAGCCATGGACATCAATAATGTTGCTCTTAATCCTAAATAATTAGCCATGATAGTTGCTTGGTCATTTGGCGTCTCTCTCTCTCACACAAACACATGCTCCCCACACATACACGCATGCAAACATGTACACATGTATCTAGAATTTGAGCTTTGGACATCAGGAATGTGGCCCTTACACCTTAACTACTTAGCCATGACAAATTTCACATCTCTCTCTGTGGGGTGTGTGCGTGTGTGTTTTGACATGCATACGAAAGGCAGGGGTGTGATGGATCGGTGTTACTAGACAGCAGAGGGAGCATAGAGAGTGAGAAGGGGGCCGATCCCAACGTTAATTCAGTCAAAGGATTCGAGGTGGTGGATTCTATCAAATTTGCATTGGAGATTGCATGCCCAGCTATTGTTTCTTGTGCCGATATCTTGGCCATGGCTGCTCGCGACTCCGTCGTCCTGGTAAAAACTTTTAGAGGATAAATTCATGGATGTGCTAGATATAGAGATACCTTCTTTTTCTTTTCCCACTTGGAAAGAAGTGCGTAAGCAGGGATTTGTTTTTTGACAAATTGGTAAGTAGGGATTTTAAGTAGAGGTCTAAAAATCAGATCAGTGCTACGGATTCTTGATTCACCAGTACGGATCGGCAATCCAGAGCAGTGTACTATATGACTTAGAAAAAACAAAAAGATTTTCAACACTCGCAGGAATAGGGCGGCTTTGAGCTTCCCTACACCTGGTCATTCCCTCCATTGTTTTGAATCAATCCGGCGTTTTTCGCCCCATCAATTTTTTGAAACCCTGACTTGAAGTGTTCAGACTTTGAATATTTTGTCCCATTAGGCCAGGAAACGTGATTCAACTAACGTATGGCTTGTGGTTGTTTTCTATTGACATGTAGAGAGGAGGGCCCAATTGGGATGTATACTTGGGGAGAAGGGATTCTCTAACTGCAAGCTTCAGTGGCGCTAATAAATTCATCCCATTACCGAATTCCACCCTCCAAACTCTCATCACCAACTTCCAAGCTCAAGGTCTGGACCCTCTAGATCTAGTAACACTATCCGGTACTCTCTCTCTCTCTCTCACGCACATACACAAACACATAGGATATAGCGATATCAATGTTATCAACCTCCAATTGGCCATGGAACCAGTTTGAGGATCAATACCGGTTCGGATGCTAAATTAAATAAAGAAAAATAGTAAGAATGACTTAAATATATGAAATATATTAATAAAAGTTGTCCAACATTGTTTGGTCAATCTAACTGATAAAAAATGAGTGTCCAATTGGTTGAAACCCATCAATAGTTCATTTTGTCAGTTTTAGTTTTGAACTTGGCCCACCAAGGCATCGGTTGGGAATCCAAAGGGTTGGACAAACCAGGCTAATTTGGTCTTGATAACATTGGTCAATACTCATTACTGCAATATGCCCAAATATCTTTGTTTCTAGCAATTACATTTGTCAACAGTTAATTGTTAAATTGCTCCTTGGAATTTAGTCTAGCAAAAACAACCCAAAAGAAAAGTATTTTGAATCCAAAATTCCAAATTCTCTTTTCTGACTCAAAATTCAGAAGTAAAACCAACGTTGTGAAGCTGGATGAAATCAACAGGGAGCCATACAATTGGCTACTCAAGGTGCTTGAACTTTAGACAACATATCTATTCCCCACTAGAACAAGATGAAGAAGAATATGCAGAAGGAAGCACGCCAGACTACTGTTCTCAACAAAAAAAGAGAAAAAGCAAGCCAGACCCTGTCTTTCGAAGAATTTTGCGCTCGACATGCCCGATTACAGGGAGGGACAACAGTCTAACGCCATTAGACTATTCAACTTCGGTTTTCTTTGACAATCATTACTTCCTGAACCTCATGCAAGGGAAGGCTCTTTTACAGTCTGATAGCTCCCTCCTCTCTTCAACGTACACAAAGGAGCTAGTGTGGGCCTATGCATCGAACCCACGCCTCTTTTACAGAAAGTTTGCATCATCCATGGTGAAGATGGGAAACATCAACCCTCTCATTGGAGACCAGGGAGAGATACGACAAAATTGTCGATTCGTGAACTCGCAGAGTTTGACGAGCCCATAGCTCTCAGTGAAAGTTTTATGTCATTAGCATTACATTTGTTTCAGAAGATACAGAATTGATTTACAAGTGAGTTTGTGAGTGGAATTTTACAAAATCGAGTCCTTATACAAGTCTACGTATGCTCTGAGTCTAGTGTTTAGATATTGATGTGCATTTGTATCAGTAATTAAGGGAGAAAAAACACAAGTTATGGTGTCTGTGAAATGTAAAAGGCATGTTTATCTTAGTAACAAACAAAAGGAAAACTTTCTACAACAACCAAAGGAAATGAATATTATCAAATGCTCAAGAAATTGCTAAGTCGATTTCAGAATTATCCGAGTCAATCAGAATTATCATGAGTCGTTACAGAGAATTGAGACCCTGCTGAATCCCTACTAGAGCTTGCCTTTTTAATCATTAATATTTAGGAAAGAGTTTATATGGAGTTCCAAACTTGCTTTTGAATCCAGAACAATTAAGCATTATTTAGTTACAGACATGGTTTCTATGCGTCGAACCCCCAGTGTAGAAATGCGGGCTTGATAATAAATATATTTTTTAAATATAATTTGATCATAATTTTTAAAAAATATATAATATTTAACATGGAGATCATGAATATGAAAAATAAAAAAATAAAAATAAAAACTAAAAATAATAATTATATTAAAAAAAATTAGACCTAATTACACTTGTTTTTAGATGGACCACCTATCTGCCTTCATATTTAAGATGGATGCTTTATATCCGGTCTATCCCACATGAAACAATTTTCTTTTAGTTACTTCACTTGGGACACTAAATTGGGTCAAATTACTAATGCATACATGGCCAAAATAGCGGCATTTTGTGTATTTCTTAATAAAGAATACACAAGACCAGTTTACCTTTGACACAAAAACATAGCAATCGTTCATAAGTTGTTAAATGTTAAACTGAGGTACCATTGACCACACACAAAATTTGTGAAAGAAGTTTCATCAAAATTTATGCAAAGATGAGGCAAGCTTGTCGTGAATCTCACATTGGATGGTTTGGGTTCCCTGCAACGGACTTAGGTGTGCACAACATCACATAAATTCTCTCCTTCACATGCACAATCCTTTCTCCTAATAAAATGGTGGGTCAAAGGCGACGCCATTGACGATTTTTCTTTTTTTCTTTCTTTTTTTTTTTTTTTTAAAGAAAAGGGCTGACATCGTTGTGGTAGCATACCCTATACTTCAATTACACTTTCAAAAATCACTAACTAATTCAAAAAACTGGTAAGGATATGTCATCCCTACTGAATTACCAAAAAAAAAAAATCAAATTGTTTTTTTTATAACAAATTTTTTATAAATATTATAAAATGAATATATAAATATTTTAAAATATTAAAAATAGATCATGTAGATAACTCGTTATAATTAACTTGTTAGAATTAGTCTTAGGACTTAGAAAGTTATTTTTCTTTGGGTGTAGTTTGTATAGAGCCGAGGCACTAAACAATCAAAGTAAAACGCACCTTCAAATAATATCCAGAAATGTGGTTTCAATACTAGAAATCTTTGTTATAGCTTTAAAATATATTTTAATATTTAATTATAAAATTTAAAGCTTAAAAAATAATGATGGAACATCTATGAAAGCTTCAAAATTGACGATCCAAAAATACCTTACAAAATGCACTATTTCCAAAATCCAATGAAATTTGAAGATATTTGGGAAATGCCTCTTCTATTTAAGTTTTTGAGGGGGGCTCTAATTTGAGCCCCAGTTCTATGTAAAATTTTTTCCCTTTTCTTTATATTCGTATATGTAGACATCTCAAGGTCCATTTGGAAAGTTTTCTAAACACTATTTTTTATGATTTTTGAGCTATGGTACAAGGCTGTAACCATGTACAAACTTTTTTCAAATCAAGAACTTACCGAACTTTTACAATGAGTGGACTGGTTTGAGTTTGAGAGCTCAACTCTAGACGAGGAGGAAGAGGGTAACATAACATAAAAGAAAATGGCAGCAGCGACATTTACATCTGCAATTGCAGCAGCAGCAGTACCACTTGAAAATAACAACAACAATATCATCTCTTCTTCTCCTTTCTTCCCACGGAAGCAAAATAAAGAAGAAGAAGGAATTCCTCCACATTCTTCTTCTTCTTCGCGGCTTTCAAAACCCTCGTGGGTTGTAAGGACTGAGGTTACTTACTTTCTTCCTATCTCATCTCTGCATCTTTGATTGCTTGCTTAATTAATAATCTCGGTCTTTCATTTTGTTCTTTGTTAGGTGCTTAAAGAATTTAGAGAGAGAGCTTCTTATCTTACTCTCTCTCTCTTGTTTTTCAAGTCTTGTCTTTCCTCCAATAGACACTGAATATTTCTTCTTTACTATGATAACCAGTAAAGGAAGATTTTCAAAAGCCATTATTCAACAACCCAAAATTCCTGATGAGAGCTCTACCAAGTGTATGTATATTTGAGACAGTGAACGGGCTCTAGAATATATGTGTCTAAAGACCCATAGCCACCCATTCATGTTTGCATGGCTGGCATTGTGATAAAAACAATGATGAAAATAAAATCTTAGGCTCATAACTCCTATATTTGTCAGGCTATAATCAATATGTAATATTGTACTCAAAACTCTTATATCTGTCAGGCTATAATTAATGTGTAACATTGATATGGGTTCACTCTTATTCAATCAAGATTAGATGGTTTGATGCCTCTAAACACATTTATGTTATGGAGACAAATTAAAAGCTCACCCCATAAACAAAGACTAACGCAACCGGTACAAGTCAGAGATTAAGTTTCTTTGAGGAACACCAATGCAACCTATGCAAAAAATAGCAGCATGGTCTTGTATAAATCCATCAAGCAAATTGTAAGCTCAAAGATGCATATGTGCAGTGTGCTCTGATATCATGCCCTTTATTATATTATAGGTGTAAGAGTAGGAGGTGGTGTATGCACGATTTGATGAATATGGTTCTTTTTGATAGGCTGCAAATATTTTGTATGAAAACTGTTGGGTTTATGTGGCCTTTAAAGGCCTTATGCATGCTTGTAAAATGAAATGATATAGTGGAACATGAACTCAATGGGAGTGTGGTCCCTCGTGAGCCATACTAAGCAAACGATGTTTGCAGCTACCAAACTGTGCTTGACGATCTAGGCCATTCGGTTGGAAAAAACCCATGTTATCTGGGCATGAAGAACAAACCGATGAGGGTTTATAGGTTAGCCCTTGATGAGGTCGGAGAACATGTCCGGATGAGTGAGCCGAGGGACTGTGTGACCTTTGTGTGTAATGGTGGCCTATAAAGACCGGGGCCAAAATCTCATCTATGTACCATCACACGACATGCATATCGATAGATCGTTCGGGAAAGCCAGAAATCCACCTTTTAGGGTGAAGCGTATGCATGTGCGAGAGATACCCCTATGCGCCATAGAGCTGTGGTCGTATAAGATCTTAGTAACCTTGACTTGTCTCTAAGGGAGGACCTGAAATCCACAAACTGGGACTGCGATCCCTTGGCTCATCGGCCGGACTTTGGTGACCCGCTAATGAGCCCCTGCTTGGACTGTGGGTTATGAGAAACACTGGCTCGGTTTGATAAAGCAAGTGTGGTCTGTAGTCCATAGTTGAATGTGGAGTGCCCCATGATTGTTGATTCCTAAACCATATGGATCTTTTTCCCATCAAATTAATTTAATTGCATTTGTTTTATGATGAAAATTACTTTAAGATTATTATTTGAATTTTTATGAATCCTTGGATATTTTATTTATAATTTTTGGATTTATAAAATTAAAGATATTGATTTTACAATTGTTTAAATATTCAAATAATATTCTAACATCCTTTTATTAATTTTAAATATATAAAAATATCATGGGAGCCCATTGTGTACATGGACCCTCCATATTTTTAGAAGGTGGGGCCCATGAGTGCCTCCCTTGGGTGGCACGCCTCACCCTTATTCTCTTTCCTATTTTTTGGTGATATGGCATGTGGCCATACTGTTGGAAGATATTGACTAAATATTGACTTCATATATCTTTGAAAGATTTTGTGGAAAGATTGAGTAGACTTGTGTTATTTTATGGTATGCACAATATTTTTTATTAGATTTAATTTATTTAATTTTTATTGATGGAAAAATGGTTTAAGAAAGGGAGATAATGGTTCATGTACCTTCCATAATGTTGATGACCCATCTATAAAATGGATGGCTCAGATCTCTCACCCCACAAGTCACCCTTGATCGTCGGTCTATGTTCAATCTCACAAGACGAGGCAAGCCAAAAAAAACCCTAAGAAACCCTAATCTTATTCAAAGCCTATAAAAAGATATTGTCTCTACCCAACATCTCTACACCTTATCTTTCTACCTCTCTCTCTTAAGAAAGTTTATCTCTCTCATATTTGATCTCTCTCTCACATTGTGAAAGAACCTAAGGGTTTAGGTTATGGAGTTCTTCTCTCCTATCTCTCAGATATGGATTTATGACTAAAGGTTTTAGGGTTTAGCAAAAAGAGAACCAATCTCTCTCAAACTAGGTTGCTAAGATAATTCACCTAGGGTTTGAGTTTGTGATCAAAGGGGTTCATGTTCCATTGGTGTGGCTTAGCTGCAATTTGCTTTTCCGGTTTGAGATTGAAGTTAGACCGTTGATCCCGCCATCGGATGGTGGTGACACGGTGTGGGGTGTTATAAGCCCGTTTGAGGTAATCTCCGGCACTCTTCCTCTTTTTGTTTCTTGCAATCTTATCTTTTATTTTCAAGCACAGTACATAGTTGTTTCAATGGCATCAAGTTGTTAAGATCTTGGATTTATTGTTATGTTCATTTTATTTTGAAATTTATCTTATTATAATAGAGACCACATGTAAATGATCTTTTGCCAAAAGAAAAGGGTGAAGAAAAAAAAAAAATGTATTTCCCAGTAAAAGATCACATAGGTCTTTCTTTCAAAAACTTCAGTGTGCCTCCTGAGTTTTATCTCATCCTCTGACTATTCTTTATTTATTACTCAACTTCAAACCAAATATATGCTATATGCATGATGCCAAGAGGTTACTCTTGCCGAGTTCTTAATGTATGAGACTTCAAGGGTTTTAGTTTTCATAATTGATGAATATCACTATATTGGTTATGATTAGTAATTATTCAATTGTCACGCTTGATCGTCTATGGTTCTTTTATATGTGTGCTTCTGATATCTACAATAGCAATGGTAATGCAGTCAAATGTCTGGAAAGAGAGAAGAAAGAGGCCAGATCCACCTTGTGATACTTGCAAAGGGACTGCAAGAGTAGATTGCCGCCATTGTCTAGGAAGAGGTCTCTCTCTCTCTCTCCATGTTTGTGTGTGTAGGAGTGCAGACACGTGAGACTGCATCATGATCTAATATCTGGAATTTTGCAGGCAGGACTAATTGTGTGCATCTTCCTATGCTTCCTAAAGGAGAATGGCCTAAATGGTGAGGTAGCAAATCCCCATGCTCTGCTCCTTGTAGACTGGTCTATGTTTCGCTTGCAATCTTTGTGCCTTTGTGGTGTTTAATGGTGTGACCCAAATTTGGGCAGGTGCAGGATTTGTGGTGGAAGTGGCCTGGATTATTGTTCCCGATGCCTAGGGACAGGGGAATACAGAGATATAATGGGATTTCGTTTCATGAAGTTGGACAGCAATCCATATAAGAAACACCAATAGAATTTCTCAGATCAATAGTCAAACAAAATAAGGTGTAGCTTCAGACTTTGAACTCCTCTCTCTCTCTCTCTCTCTCTCTCTCTCTCTCTCTCTCTCTACTCTATACTACGTAAGTAGTAAGTAAGTAGTACGTAACGTACGTACGTACGTACGTACGTACGTACGTACGTACGTACGTACGTACGTACGTACGTACG